ACACACACACACACACACACACACACACACACACACACACACACACACACACACACACACTGATTTCAGTGCCAGCAGTAATTAGACTGAGCCCAGGCTTCCTCCTGTTCGTGGTGAGCCTGTGCCAAAAACCCTGTGCCCCACCCACGCTGTGCAGCAGCAGGCTCGCCTCTGATTGGCTGCAGGCCTGTGGGCCCTGCCAGTAACGCCTCAGCTGATAGGCTCCTGCACTCAGCCTCTCAACCCTTACACCCCCACTGAGACGTTGGCGTCTGGAAGCTGTGACGAATACTCTCAGCTGATTGGCCCACAGCTGGGAAGGTGTGTGCGAGCGTGCGCGTGCGGGGTTTTCAGCTTCTCGGGGTGTGCGCGCTCAGACAGAGGTGTGTTGAAAATAACATCCACGTGCGATTCCTTTGAATCAAAGCACCAGATCTGTGTCGCAATTAAGTATCACAACGCGAATCCATCAATTAGGACGAGCGTAGTCTGGTTTCCATGACAACCCCCCCCCCCCCCCCCCTTTTCTCTGCTGACAAACCTCCACGTGACACAGCACGGAGCTGGAGTCAGGGATGTGAGCTGGAGGGAGGATGCTCGCTCGCTGTCTGCGCACATGTACGCTCCTCATACAGATCTATTGAAGCTGTGTGTGTCTCCCAACAGGTGACCCGAGCCGCGCGTGTTCGTGTCACTCAGCTTTTGTGCTGCGCTGCCACATCACATCACATCAACAGGCCTCTGAGCGAAGCTGCGCCAGTAAAACGAACAGTGTGTTCTGAAGCTTTGGGTTTATCTCAGCTCCTCTAATGTCCCCTTACAATAATGTGCAGTGCAATCAAGGCAGCGCAATCTCTGCGCCTTTTCTTCGCTGCAGCCGGAGAGCAAATAACGCATGCTTGTGCTTGCTTACCTCATCTTCCCCTGCTGTCCGTGTGGACGAGACGGGTAGTCTCTCCGCTCAGTGCTGTGCCCTTCACTCCAGCTCCAGCTGTTTTAAAACAGAAAGAAATGATCCAGATGTTGCAGCTGCAGCCGTGCAGTCAAAATAAAAACGAGCGGAGCCTGGCCGCGCAGATGTTGAGGGTGGAAACAAGGCGACAGGGTGTGGAGGAAACAAGGCTGCACGGATGGCCACAGTGTTCAGGTCTGTGTTGTTAATAAAGGAGTTGTTTTCTCCGGGCTGCGTCAGGAGGAGGCTGCTGGTTCAGGCCATTTCAGAGAGCTGCACGCCGCTGTCCGAGGGACGAGGAGCCGGGCGGTGAGTGTGGTGGCAGCGTCTCAATGTGAGGTGCCATCTTTTTCCTCACTCCAACCGCTGGGAGGCTGGATGGAGAGAGAGAGAGAGAGAGAGAGAGAGAGAGAGAGAGGCTGAAATATGCATGTGCTGGTTTTGCTGCACGATTGCGCCCCCGGTGGTGATACAGCAACCGAGCAGGCAGGTATTCACTGGAATACTTTACCAAATACTGTTTAAGAGAGAGAGAGAGAGAGAGAGAGAGAGAGAGAGAGAGAGAGAGAGAGAGAGAGAGAGAG